AGAAGAGAATCTGTGTATCGTTCGTTCATTTGTTCATTATTTGTCTCCAAAACTAAAATGAAAAAACAGATAATGATTTATTTTTTCAGTTTTTGATTTTGTGAACTCAGAACTGAGACTAGGACAGAGACCCGGAAAAAGGACCTGGACTAACAACAGGACCAGACCAATACTGAGACCGAGACCAGACAGGGACTGAGACCGAGACTGAAACCAGGACTGAGACCGGGACCAGACCAAGACCAGACCAGGACCAGACCAGTACTGAGACCGAGACCAGACCGGGACTGAGACTGGGACCAGGACTGAGACTGAGACCGGGACCAGATAAGAACTGAGACCGGGACTGAGACCAGGACTGAGGCCGGGACCAGACCAGGAATGAAAACAGTTTAGTCCTGGTTCAGTCCAACATCACAGTTTAAGTCACGAAAACAGGAAACGTCCTTTTTTTTTTTTTTTTTTTTTTTTTTTTTTTCCATTTTTCATTTAAACACAAAATAAAAAACTGAATAAACTAATCATGATCTGTTTTCTCATTTTCATTTTGGAGACAAACTATGAAGAAAATAGCTGTTTTTTCATTTCTTATTTTTGGTTTTATATTGAAAAACGACTGAACGAATGACACACAGATTGAAGAGGAACATTTCATACTTTTCAGTCTTCAGTGTTAATTTACCACACTGGACCAAATCTGCAACATCCCAGGATGCATTGCATGTGAAGGTCTCTCACAAAAATGTCAGGATTGTATATTACTACCCCATATGATAATTTTCCGCAAATATCTGATTTTTCCTGTTACTAAAGCTTAATTTGAGCCTGAGAGGGTTAAGAAAGATTTGTCGTACTGTTTTAAACTCCAAACACAGCAGAGACAAACAGAAAGTTACAGAGTGCACCTTAAAAAAAAAGATTTGTCGTCCTGAACCCGCATTGTTTTTATTTTTGAGAATTTTTGCTCAAACTTAATCCATTTTCTAGCTTCCAACCTCCCCATCTCCCCGCGCTATTACTCTTGTATTTGTATGTTTGTGATTGAAAACAGTCGGTTCGCCCATGGGGTTACGCGCGGTTCAGCTAGCTTCATTACAGTATGCTAATCTCCAGCCAACGCCCGTCATTTCCCATTCACCAGCGGGCCCCTTGGAGCCCAGCCAGCCTCCGACTCATCCGCTCCCCCTTCAAACGCGAAAACATCAGGCGCGCGAGGCGGGAAGGAGCGTTTTTTTTTTTATTTTTCATTTCTGGCAGTTGAAATTAAGTTATTCCGACGTGGAGATCCGGATCGAGCTTTTGTCGACGTCGCCGGGGTTAACTGACGCGTCGCGGAGATGCAGAGTCTGTCGGGAGTCCGGGGTCTGGTCTCGAGGCAGATGCTCGGGAGAGGAAATAGATTAGCATTTCACAGGCTCGTGACAGTAGCCGCCGCCGCTAATGCTAAAGCTATTAGCGGGGCAGCAAATTAGAATGCGCGCTGCCAGTCATTTTCTCTCAACAAGAGTTAGGCTCAGCGCGGCCAAAAAGTAAAAGATGCCACGACCACAGTGTTGGGGAGTAACAGATTACATGTACTGGAGTTACGTAATCAGAGTACAACTGTATTCGGTTACAGTTACTGTTTCAGTGAGTGGTAATTGGATTACAGTTACTTTGTTGAAATAAATGGATTACACAGAGGTATTTTCCTGTTTTCCTGTTTTCACATTTTGGGCTATATCCCTGATATCCTGATTTAGACCTGGTTTAGTCCTGTTTTAGACTTGGTTTAGACCTGGTTTGGACCTGTTTTAGACCTGGTTTAATCTTGGTTTAGTCCTGGTTTAGACCTAGTTTAGTCCTGGTTTAGATTTAGATTAGTCCTGGTTTAGACCTGGTTTTAGACCTGGTTTAGACCTGGTTTTTGTCCTGATTTTAGTCCTGGTTTAGACCTAGTTTAGACCTGGTTTTAGACCTGGTTTAGACCTGGTTTTTGTCCTGATTTTAGTCCTGGTTTAGACCTAGTTTAGACCTGGTTTGGACCTGTTTTATACCTGGTTTAGTCTTGGTTTAGTCCTGGTTTAGACCTAGTTTAGTCCTGGTTTAGACCTAGATTAGTCCTGGTTTAGACCTAGTTTAGACCTGGTTTTAGACCTGGTTTTTGTCCTGATTTTAGTCCTGGTTTAGACCTGGTTTTAGTCCTGGTTTAGTCCTGGTTTAGACCTAGTTTAGTCCTGGTTTAGACCTAGATTAGTCCTGGTTTAGACCTAGTTTAGACCTGGTTTTTGTCCTGATTTTAGTCCTGGTTTAGACCTGGTTTTAGTCCTGGTTTAGTCCTGATTTAGACCTAGTTTAGACCTGGTTTTAGACCTGGTTTTTGTCCTGATTTTAGTCCTGGTTTAGACCTGGTTTTAGTCCTGGTTTAGTCCTGGGTTAGACCTAGTTTAGACCTGGTTTTAGACCTGGTTTTTGTCCTGATTTTAGTCCTGGTTTAGACCTGGTTTTAGACCTGGTTTAGTGTCCCGCAATGAATGGAATTACGGGAAAAAAAAAAAAGGGGGAATACCCCAAAATGTGAAAACAGGAAAATCCTGCCGTGTAATCCATTTATTCCAACAAAGTAACTGTAATCCAATTACCACTCACTGAAACAGTAACTGTAACTGAATACAGTTACTCATCATTTGTACTCTGATTACATAACTCCAGTACATGTAATCTGTTACACTGATCACAGCATATACACTGTCCCTATCAAATAAATAAACACAACATTATAACATAGATCAGAAAGTAGAATAATATCTGGGTGTTTTTAAATTGTCTCGTGTAAAAACAACAACAACAACAACAAAAAGATCTATTTACTTTGAAAACACTCTCAGCTTTACAAAACAAAAAAAAGCATAAATTTGCATGTCAATATTTGCTTTGTTTTTGTAATTGGCCGTCACAAATGACATCTTTTTCAAGCTCGCACCTGCCCCTCGGAGCGAGCTTTGTGACTGTACGACGTATTTCGACGGAGCCGTTGCAGCACAAACATGATTTACTGTTGACAAGTCATTTCTTTGTTGTTACGCAATGGCCCTATTTTCTCTGACACGCCGTTTTCTATTATGTCACCGCTTTCCCGGGCCTGGTCTGGAGAAAGCTCTTGCTGATGTTTGCGACAGGAGTAAGGTTTCGGCTCACCCGAGACCAGCTGTTGTGTCTTTGAGCAAAACACTTCACTCAAGTTTCTTACTTATTCAAGATAGGTGAAGCGTCTCGTTCCCATCGTCGTTAATTTAAGTTATTTTGAAGTTCATTTCCATTGATTCATGCATGTTTTAGTAATTTTTTTTTTTTTTGTCCAGCACGTGAGACTTTGAGTGAGCAGAAATTTCAGTTTTCACCTATCCCCTGTCTCCGCCCACTTCTCTGTATTTACTTGCAAGTTGTAAAAAAAATAATAATAATAAAATACTAGTACGACTACTACTACTACTACTACTACTACTACTACTACTACTAATAATAATAATAATAATAATAATAATAATAATAAAATAAATACAAAAAAATACAAAAAAAAAAAAAATAAAATAAATAAATAAATAATAAAATAATAATAATAATAATAATAATAATACATGAAGAATAATAATACTTTTTTAAATTAAATAAATAAAAAAAATAAAGAAAAGAAATGAAAAGAAATTAAATTACAACAATAAATTACAAAAATTTATAGATAATCAAATCCGGAGTCATGCAAGAGAACAAATGGCCATTTTTCAACAAGTAAAAAGATCTGCTGTTTTGTTTTGTGAAATGTAACTACGAAGAGGCGAGACTTATCTGTTCTTGCTGTCATGGTTCATGTTTGTAGTGGTTGTTTTTGCTCATTTTGGTGTTTTATTTTGACATTTGTCGTGTCTGCTTGTAGTTTTGAGTTTTACTTCCTGTCTTGATTGTTTGCCCCGCCCTGATGTGTTTCATCTGCGTCTGTGTGCGTTTATACCCTGCTGTTCTCCTCTGCTCTTTGTTGGTCCATTGTCTCTGTCAGAGTTTCTTCTTGTCTCGTGTCATGGCAGTTTAGGTTCGAGTTTTGGATTTTTTTGGATTTGTCATGAAATACTTTGAAGCAGTCTTGCATTTTGGGTCCTCCCTCTGTTTCTGCATGACACTTGCATTTGAAACAAGATGTTTCGAGTACTAAGCTGTTTTTAGACCAGTATTGTGGTTTACAGTGCACGAAATGTAAAATGATGACCTCGATCATTTCATAGTTGAATCTACTCAAATAAAGTCAAATGTTCTTTTCAGTCATTTTAACTAGATTTTTAATTTTTTTATTTTTTTCCAGTGAAAGTCTTATATTACGCAAAATTTACTCTTGTGAGCTTTAAGCCATGTTATAATGTTGTTACCTCCTGGAGTTGTCTTTTATTTCATTCACACATGTTTGAGTAATCCTTTATTATTTAATCTGTCTACATCCCCAGAGCTCAAAAAACGCTCCGTTCCACCTTGTGATGTCACGAAGCGGTAGTTTTCAAGTTAATATCTACCTTTTTTTTACCTTTGGGTCTGTAGAGATTGGCAATTTCCAGGGCTGAAATCATCCAAATCATTCTAGTGAAGGTGCGTGGAGTTTAAAAACACAGTGGAGCACTTCCTGTGTTACCACATGACATCACAAGGTGGAACAGAGTGTCTGAAATTTGACAGAAGAACTCAACCGACTCAAATATGCAGGGTTTGTGAGTTAAACGTGTGAAGGAAACAAAACAAACTCTAGGTATGTTTGCGTGTATCTAACATAGATCAGAAACTAGTGTAATATAAGCTCTTTAAACTGTTATGTCTCCGTTCACATGCTAGTTTATTTTTGAGTAATTTTAACCTATTGCTCTCTACCGACCTCTCCCTCACTGCTGCTTTTACTTTCTAGTGCATTGTCACGCTTTTCTACTTTATGACATCAATTTAAACTTTCCGCTGACCCTTTGCTTGGTCTCCTCTCTCCGCAGCTGGGACGACGTACATCTTCGGGCGCGGCGGAGCCCTCATCACTTACACCTGGCCCCCCAACGACCGGCCGAGCACGCGGGCAGACCGGCTGGCCGTGGGCTTCAGCACTCAGCTCAAAGAGGCGGTGCTGGTCAGGGTGGAGAGCGCCAAGGGACTGGGAGACTACCTGGAGCTGCACATAGTAAGACCAACTTTATATACACGCTTTAATCTTTGAACGTGCCATGTGTAACGTTTCGGTTGGAGGTCCGTCACCTTCTTGTTTCTATGGATACGCCTTTGTTTTGCTTGGAATGTTCCACAGTGTGACATTAAACAGCTCTACTTCAGATCAGACATGTCAAACTCAGGCCCAGGGTCCAAATTTGGCCGCGAGATCATATCAAAAATGAATTAGAGCTGCCTGCCAGCTACAAACAGGCTATAAAGACAATATTTATTTAGTATTTTGTTATTATTTTATATTACGCTTGTTCTGGATGCAGAAAAAATATTACTAAATATTTATTTTAAGAACAGACCTGAAAACTCCTCAGAGAAAAAAATGTGATCTCAATTAAATAAAGACGATTTAATGTGTTTTCCATGTAAATCTCAATTCGGAAGTATTATTATTTCCATGTAAACTCGAAGGAGAATAATTTATTTTAAAAAAAACAAAACTCTCTGGTTCTATGTGATTCACGTGAATGACCCAATTGACCAAGAAAAAGGCAATTGTAGCCGAAGTTTGCAGGTCTGTAATAAGAAAGGAACATTTCATATCTCGAAAGAAGAGAAAACATGCAGATGCTGTTGAAATTTGTCAATAAATATTTAGTTTGGCCCACGACTTAGTCCCAGTTTTTTATTTTGGCCCTTTGTGAATTTGAGTTTGACAAAATCTGACTGTACTGTGAGCTCGGTCTTCTCTCCACAAATCTGACCCGTAACTTGATCTGGTTTGGTCTCTATGAAGATAAAAAGACAACACTAAAAAAAAAAAAAATCCCTAACCCACTTGAAGATAGAAAGGTTTAAAACCACACTGTGAAAATTTGCAGACAAATCAAAAATTCATGGAGAAAAGCATCTGACGGATCCTCCACCAGAAAAGTTACACAGTGCACCTTAAACGCGCTGGGTTGTGTTTGGTTTGGTTGGTGTTTGGTTTTAAGACGCTGCTTTGATGGTGTTTAAACAGAAATGGCTCGCTCGTGTTGTTTATTGTTTATTGTTGATCCTGCGCTGTAAGGATCAGGGTGAAGAGCGCCAAGTAATTTGAGAGGGGATGTGGCTGCAGACCTCCACCCAGAAGACCCACCCTCACGTGACATACCTCCATCTAGAGTGCGGATCAGGCAGTTTTTTTTTTTTTTTCTGGCCGAGCCCGAACCCGACACAATTAAAATCACACTATTCTCCCAGGCCAGCTAATGACGCACATAGAATATTGTTTGTGTTCCTGTAACGGACACAGAGACGCAAAATACAACCTCTGGATAGAATCAGAATCAGAATCAAATTTTATTTGTCATTCCAGTATAAAAAATACATAGAAACGAAACAATGCACTCAGGTCCAGGTCAACAGCAGCACAGATAACAATAAGAACAAATAGTTATAATAAGAATAAAATAGTAAAAAATGTTGTATATCAACCCGCCCCCATTTTCTAAAGTGCGTTCCAAGTCAGTGCTGTTTTCTAGTGTTTTTTCTGACAGAATTAATCTGTCTCACGGCATCAGGATAAAAACTGTTCCGTAGTCTCGTGGTCCTGGCCTGTAGGTGGCGCAATCTTCTGCCTGATGGGAGAGCTGTAAAAAGTTAATGTGCTGGATGGGTGGAGTCTTCCATGATGCTGTGGGCTTTTGTCCTGCACCTGCTGATGTAAATATCTTCAATGCAGGATAGAGCGAAAATAAGACTTTATTACTCTCCTCTCGTAAAGTGGTTCGTTTTAAGCGCAGTATCTCATCCACATTATCCATAGAAATTGTCCTGAGACATCCAGTCCACAAAACAGCGCTATTAATCCAGTTTGAGGAGTTCTTTAAAAGTAAAAAGGCAGGAGTAGTTCCTCACGTGTGTCTGTTTACATCCACACAGCGCACGGATCGAGGTGAAGCTGCTGATTAGCGACAGTGACTCTATTTCCTGTGGACTTTATTACCAATTTTTTATGCTTTAAAAATCATGAATCTGAAGTTTTGCACCACATTTCACAAATAATAATAACACCGTTTTGATTTGGATCTAAACTAGAAGTGAAGTGCTCGGATCTTTTGAAGCGCTGATGTGTCCGAGTCCGACCCGAGCCCGAACATAAGCTCTAAATATTTGTCCAAACTTTGTCAGACTTTAGTCGGTTTTCAATGCTCTATCTCGAATCTACAGGTCCATAAAGGTATTTCCTACCCACTGTTTTTAGTAACAAAAATGAACATCTTTTTACAAACCCAACCTTTCTCCTAACCTGAACCATTACAGATTTGTGCTTAATCCTCACCAGACACAGCAACACACACCGACAAATTACATAAAAGTTTGCTGTATCTGTATTTACGCTTTTGTAGGCAAGGTTATGTTTGCAACTGTATGTTTAAAACTGATTCCCTATGCAGGCAGAACAGAGCGGAGACAACCCAAAGTTAGTTCCAAATTAGAAAACTTTTATTAATGTACTGGGTATTAAAGCTGGTCTACAATTTCTGAAGTGTAATAAGTGCAGAAAATTGAAATGAGCTTTATCACCTTAACTCGCCGTAACTTTTAATAGTGACTAAGGGAACAACTGATTTAAAAAAAGAAAAAAAGCGTAATTAAATTTCTTCGTAAATTGATGAAAAAATAAGGACCTTGTGGTGGAGGTCTGCGGAGTAGGGTCCACTGGGTCGAGGTCTGCAGCCGTGCTCCGTTGGGGGACAGGAGTTGCAAACAATAAGACTCTAAATACTAAATCTCTAAGGCGCTATTTTGGTTGGCGGAGTTTTATCTTGAAATGACCGGTCTGTGAGAATCAGCGTGAAATGTGTCGTAGTTTGGAGTTTGTCTGTTTGAACATCGACTTTGCAAAACTGTATAGTGGTTTTCGTGTTTGTATCACACTCACAGAGACATTTGTGAGATTCGTGAGGAAAAACGGTGGAGCTGTGGTGAGCGAGAAGGCAGGGCAGTGCTGTGTGATGTCACATAGTACTTGAAATAACAGAGGCCACTTTCAGAACACCACATACACACTTCTATAGCCAAAAAAAAAAGGGTTTATTTAGAGTTATTTAGTGTTATAAAACATGAAATAGTAATCCTAGTATTGTGGCTTAAAGGTGCACTATGTGTCTGTCACTTGCTTGTTTCTATGGATACGGCATTGCTCTGCCTGGAATGTTCCACAGTATGACTTTAAACAACTCTACCTTACATTTATCCCATTACAGGCTGAAAAATACACTCGCCTCTCCACAGATCTGACCTGTAACTTGGTCTGGTCCAGTCTACATGTATTTTAATTTCATTTTATTACATTATTATTCTTTTTTTTTCTCACTTACTTAAATTATTCTTATTATTAATTTATTGTCTTGTGTAGAGGTGTGCAAAAATACTGAAATATCGATATATGGTATCCTTTAATGTGATGATACAGTATCGATATCATGGGCTACTGTATCGATATATAGCCAAGAGTATTTTTTGATATATTTTACTAAATTATAATTACTAGGCCCTGAAAACCCATCTCTTGGAAGAAAAAAAAAAAGCATCTTTAAGTATCTTGAAAAGCGCTATACAACTGTTATGTATTATTATTATTATTATTATTATTATTATTAAATTATTTTGTTACAGAGCTACAGTTTTGTTGCTTGTTTAGAGGAAGGAAACTCATTTATGCGACACATTTGATATTTTCACTGTTTTGATGATAAAAATGTTTGTGTTTCATATGAACTTTGCACAAAAAGTGGTTTAACAAAGACTTTTAGTATCACAGACATGATTTAGCCTTTATTTTTTTTTTATTAAACTGTATCAAATCGATTTGAAATATATCGTATCAAATCGAAAGCGCACTGTATGGAGATATGTATTGTATCGTGGCCTATGTATCGAGGTATGTGTCATATCGGCAACTTCTTAACGATACCAGCCCTAGAACTGTATGTTGTACCTTAACTTAAAATCTGAATCTGTCAAGCCATTAAATGAATCACACAGTGGCGATGGACCCCGTATTATACAAGCTTTTTCACTTGCTGGTATAGATGTAACGATATCCAAATCTCTCGGTACGATATTATCACGATTTGCATCTCACGGTACGATATTTATTGCGATATTTTATAGATGCTCATATAAGTGTAGTTGGAACACTTTTTTGCTTTTAAAATACCTTGACAAGATTTTGGTGTGAATTATTTCCGTCATAATCCCAAATATTAAAGAAAAAAACATATTTCTACATGTTTTCTGCGCTGAAATGAATCATGGGATATGTAGTTCACGATGTTTATAAGCTGTTGCTACTATAAAACAATGCATTTAAGCAAAGAAACTTATAATTCGATATATTGTGATGCCTCAAGATTTTATTGTGAGACTTTTGACGATACGATATCACGATATTTTGGTTATTGGCACACATAATATTTGTCAAATGCTTGAATATATTTACGTTTAAATTTGGGCTTTTTGTGGGATTATAATTTAAAATTGAGAAAAAAAATTAAACTGAAATTTAATTGAATTGAACTGAAGAGACAAAAGTTTAATAACGTACTGTGCAACATTCCAGACAGCGCGATAACATGTCCACGGAGAAAAGCATTTGACTTAACTTCCCCCAGAAAAGTTTCACAATCCAACTTTAACATACTGTAAAGCCAGAGTTCACTTTAAGTCCACGTTAAGCCTTTGCGTTGGCTGTCAATTTGTGAATTCAAATTGCGTTGCAAAGAATTATTACCCATACAATTCCATTACTTTTAGAGGTCAGCTCGCGGAGGAATATGTCATTCACACTTTTCAACTTTTTACAAGTCATAACTCATATTAAAAGGCAGTCGGTGACCTGCTCGCCTCTCCTCTGCGCCGCACGCCACGCGAATCAACTTCACTTCAAACTGCCACATTTCATCATCCGCACCATCCACCATGTTTGTGCACAGATGTTGTTCGCGTCGCCGCTCGCCGCCGGCCTTG